TTGGAAAAAAAGGTAAAAGTTGTGGGTTGAGATAAGAACAGTTTAATAATTAAGTACAATATAATACTACTACTACTGATAATAATAGTGAAAAGGGAAATAATTAAATACCCCAAAACAAAACAAGAAAAAAACAATAAACACCAGTGATGCACAGTACAACTGCTCACGACCTGCCGACCAATAACCAGCCTGACCCAACCAGCAATCGGTCCCTTCTGGGTAACTCCCCCCAGTTTCTATACTGGGCATGACGTGCTGTGGTATGGAATAGTCCTTTGGTTAGTTTGGGTCAGGTGTCCTGTCTCTCCTCCCTCCCGGCTTCTTGTGTCCCTTCTCACTGGCAGAGCAGGAGACTGGAAAGTCCTTGGTCAGAGTAAGTGCTACTGACATTGATGTGCTACTGGCATTGTTCTCAGACTAAAGCCACAGCATAGCACTGCACCAACTATTACGAAGAAAATTAACTCTTATCTCAGCCAAAATCAGGACAGTTCCTTTTAAACAGCTTGCTATGCTTTTATGGAAGAAGTTGGGTCAGTTTGATGGTACTTGCAGCTGAAGGGGTAAGTGCTCTGTAAGGATATGAGTGAAAGTACAGCAAGGTGGTGCATGGCTATGTAATGGGGATAGAGCTAAAGTAACAGGATGTAAAATATCCTTGAGTGTAGTAACAGTGAAATTATGGGGTTAAAGTAAGAAAACTTGGGTCTGTCAGGAGGAATCCCTGTGTATTAATCTTGGTCTGTGAAATGTTCCTCCAGGCCTTGTGTTGGGAGTTCCAGTGTTCTGGAATGCCAAAACAGTATGCTTAAAAAAAACCCAAACGAACAAACAACCCAACCAAAAATGAAGAAAAAAGAACAAACGTCAGAAAAATGCCTGCTATCTTTGTTGTAAATATAAACAAAATGGCTTGTTTTAAGGCAGAGATAAAAGATAAATTTTAAACCTAAATTCTCAACTAGCAACATCTAAAAAATAATAATGCAACCAGTTTCTAGCTTGGTTGTGTAAAATTGAGACTTTACATGTAAGCAGAAATAGAATAATGAACATTAAGACTAATTTCTCAAACACTTGTTAAGTGTGTGTTTTGCTTCAGTGAAATAACTTGGGCTTAACCTTCATCTGTTCATCTCCAGGGCTGAAATCTGTGTTTTCACTTAAAAGTACTTCTTAATATAAAAATGTTACAAAACTTCTAGTGATGTTTACAGTATGCTCAGACCAAATTTTCCCCAGAGGGCAGAGGCTTGCCTTTTGCAAATGGCCTTGCAGAATACCTGAAATTTTAACTTCTACAAGCCTGAAGAAAGTGAAAGTAGGTCTCTCAAAACGCATGTGAATAAATCAGCTCTTTTTTTTTTGTGTTTGGTTTTTTTTTGGTTTGGTTTTTTTTTTTTTTTTTTTTGTGTTTGGTTTTTTTTTTCTTTTTTAAGATCTACCACAATGCCTGGGTCTCTTCCAGCGAACATCGAGTACCGTTGGCCCAAAGATGTGGGAGTTGTTGCACTGGAGATATATTTCCCCTCTCAGTATGTTGACCAGACAGAGCTTGAGAAGTATGATGGTGTGGATGCTGGGAAGTACACCATTGGGCTAGGCCAGGCAAGAATGGGCTTCTGCTCCGACCGGGAGGATATCAATTCTCTCTGCCTGACTGTGGTTCAGAAGCTGATGGAGAGGAACAGCCTTTCCTATGATTGCATCGGGAGACTGGAGGTTGGAACGGAGACGATAATTGATAAATCCAAATCTGTAAAGACTGTTCTGATGCAGCTCTTCGAAGAATCTGGTAATACAGATGTAGAAGGCATTGACACCACCAATGCGTGCTATGGAGGCACCGCTGCTCTTTTTAATGCCATTAATTGGATTGAGTCCAGTTCTTGGGATGGTAAGTTCAGAGTATTTTCTTGGAAAAGTTACATCATCCTCTGGCATTGGGTAGTCTGCCTCATAATGACAGTGTTCATGTTTAACCATATAAAACCCAGAGGTTAAACTATTTCTCTCTTCTGAAGTCTTACTCTTAAATGCTCTGGATATTAAGTTCAACTCCAGGGGTAAAAAAAAAAAAAGATGACATGGCTAATAATCACTGGTCTTTTCCTGTAAATTTCTGTGGCTGCTAGGAAATTGAAATGTGGGGGGAAAAGTCAGGGTGGAAGAGCCCCTTAAAGAGTGGGGTCATCTCCTCTGTGACCAACATCTGAAAATTGTAGATGGGTATTGAAGTATGCTCAATTCTTGGCTATTTCTCATCATTGTTTTTGTGTGTTTTTCACAGGACGCTACGCACTTGTGGTTGCTGGAGACATAGCTGTGTATGCCACTGGAAATGCCAGGCCAACAGGTGGAGCTGGTGCTGTTGCTATGCTGGTTGGTCCAAATGCTCCGTTAATTTTTGAGAGAGGTTAGTCCTGTGAAAAGAACAAATACTGTTCATCCAGACAACTGGGTCTGTTCTGAAGCCTGTTTGTTGTGCTCTGCTGGAGGGCTGGATTAAGTCCCCCCATGTCAGAAATTGTGCTGTATCTGCTCTCACTCCAGGCTGACTTGGCCAAGTTCCATTATAGGAGGCGTCAAGGAGCAACTAGAGATGCTCTTGTCTGTTTATTTCCTTGGGGCTTCTCCAATAAAGTTGTAAAAGAGTGGGCCTGAAGTGCTGGGAAAACTTTCTTGATGGGGGACAGATATTGCTTGGTTTTGTGTTAAGTGATGCATTCAAGTTGACTGAAAGCAGCTGAATGAAGTAAATTTTGTCAATTTCTGTCCATCAGGGTTGCGTGGAACCCACATGCAGCATGCGTATGACTTCTATAAGCCAGATATGGTCTCTGAATATCCTGTAGTTGATGGCAAACTCTCTATACAGTGCTACCTCAGTGCATTAGATCGCTGCTATACTGTTTATCGCAACAAAATCCATGCCCAGTGGCAAAAAGGTACGTAGCCTGACCTGGTGATATGGCAAATCTTGGAATGTGTCTCTGTGCTGGCAATGCACTTTCAAAGTTCTATCATTAGGTCTAAAGAAGGGTCCCTATCTTGGTTTGCATGTTGAGTCATTTCAAATGTCTTGCCTCTCCCATAAGAAATGTTTTACATGTGTCCTGGTATGGCTAAGTACTTGATAGTAAACAGCAATCTCTAGAGGCTTGTGTTGGTGTAATGTGTAGTACCTTGCTTAAAAGTGTGTTATTTCCTCCCCTCCATATAATATGCTCTTAAGATACTGAGGTTAATATTTAAATGTTATGTAACTATACCAATTTTTTTTTTTTTTTTACACCCGTTATGTTTAGTAATTGCTTTACTCATACTAAGGGGCATAAGGGTGAAGATTAGCTAGTTAAATGAAGCAGACTATTATGTCAAAATGCTGAAAAGAAATAGGGAGGTTCTGTTAAGCTTACAGCTTTCTCTTCTAGAAGAAGCAGCAGAAGTTAGTTGGTGCAAAAGATCAGTAAGACACCAGTCTTTAAACAGGAGTAGCAGTAATGTTTTAAATAATCTTAACAGCAATGCGATAGTTAGTCTTACCGTTGTTTCTTATATGGTGATGTGATATGATGACTAGTACCCTTGCCACCCCTGTATTTTATTTTCATAATTGAACTGAGTGCTAAACATAAGTTGTAACACAACATTTCTGCCACTTCCAGAGGGGATAGACAGACGTTTCACCTTGAATGACTTTGGATTCATGATCTTTCATTCTCCCTACTGTAAACTGGTGCAGAAATCTGTGGCTAGACTCTTGCTGAATGACTTTCTCAGTGACCAGAACCCGGAAACGGCAGATGGTGTTTTCAGTGGGCTGGAGGCTTTCAGGTGAGAATATGGCTGCTGTCTTCCTTATTCGTATGACCTTAACTTGTTAAACCTCCAGTGTGTGTCTTTACTTTCTGGTATTTTAGTAACTGTTTCTGATCAACTTTTTTTTTTTTTTTCCATAGGGATGTAAAACTTGAAGATACATATTTTGACAGAGATGTGGAAAAAGCTTTCATGAAAGCCAGCACAGAGCTTTTCAATCAGAAAACCAAAGCTTCGTTACTTGTGTCCAATCAGAATGGAAACATGTACACCCCTTCAGTCTATGGTTGCCTTGCCTCTCTTCTAGCCCAGTAAGCATAAAATAATGGAAAAAGTCATAGCTTTTTATACGTAAGGTCATAAAAAGCTTTAGTTTCAGCAAGCCTTGTACCATCTAGCAAACCTTTTCCTACTAGATTGCCTCAAGCAAAAAGACTGAAGTTAAAAAAAACGATATTGCACGCACAGTCAGTTCAGGTGACAAGCAGATTCAGAAGTTACGTGTCAGAAGATGATCTGAAACAGCTGCTTACTTCCTTCTGAAGTAGGATCTTATTTATGAGATGGTATCTTTTCCCAGCCTCAACCTTCCTTACTCTTGCCCCCCTCCAAAAAACCCCCACTGCAGTGGAAAAGAGAATCAGGATGCCTTCTCTGTTTCACTATAATGAGCAAAGCCAGATTAAATTAGGCATCTTGGGGAGTTTTGGTTGGTTGGCTGTTGTTCAGGGTTTTTATTTTGTTTGCTTGTTTTTTTGGTTTGGGTTTTGGTTTTTTTTTTTCCCAATGACGGACTTTTACAAAATTACACTTAAGTTTAAACTAAGCCATTCCTCTTGGATCCTTTTCTTTTGTTATTCTGACTTTGCCTTCCAAGATGTGGTTGTTCATTTTAGGCTTTAGGTCACTTTAGAAGGAAAACTGGTTGCCTTCTGGGTAATGATATTCTGGACATTTGCTTGCTCTGTTTTGCTTAGCTTTGGAAGTCATCACATAACAGCTGTACTTGATACTGTTTAAAAGTCACTTAAGCAGATAGCTTGTGAAATGTGTATTGTAGTCAATATAACTTACTGGCTGCTTTTTCTAAGCTAGCTGCACTTTCTAGTTACTAAAAATTGGCATATTGGCTTAATTCTCACTTTAAACAACTGTTGCTTGGTTTGCAGGTACTCCCCAGAGCAGCTCGCAGGACAGAGAATCAGTGTGTTCTCATATGGCTCTGGTTTTGCTGCTACGCTGTATTCCATCAGAGTTACGCAGGATGCCACTCCTGGTGAGTGAAAGGAAGAGATGTTACTTAACTCCCTTGCACAGCTCACCTCTAAATGCCTTGTTGCACAACTCACCAGCATAAGTAAACCTGCAGAGCAATGCCTAATGACAGTAATGCTAATTGAAGATGTCCCAACTCCTGGGAATATTTAAGTGTCTCCTTGGGCAAATAAGTAATACTCTTCAAACTCTGTTAATGTTTTGGTGGAGCGATTGGAATATTTTCAATGACAGAAAGTTTAGCTGCTGTAATGCAAAATATTTTGAATGAGATTGAAATGTTAACTCGCTAACATGCAGTTCTCAGCACTTGTGTGACCTTACATGATGGTTCTGTACTGTAGGTTCTGCTCTGGACAAGATAACTGCCAGTCTGTCCGATCTCAAAACACGACTTGACTCAAGAAAATGTATTGCACCGGATGTCTTTGCTGAAAATATGAAGATTAGACAGGAAACACATCATTTGGGTAAGAGCTTCATAAATACAGATTGTTCTTAGTCTTACAGCAAAATGCTCATCACTTAGTTCACCTGACTTTAAATTATTAGGGGGTAGAATAAAGGAGATATCCAACCCTTTCTACTTCTGACAGCTCGTGTTCATTGGTCCAGCAAGGCTGACATGAAAATGTAGATTTGTATTTTTCTGTCTTACGGTGTCCAAACTGCAAAGCCCTGTGCTGTTTAAAACTGTTAACCAGGAACCAACTAACAGTGTGCTGCTGGCTTTCTTGCAGCCAACTATATTCCGCAGTGCTCAGTAGAAGATCTCTTCGAGGGAACTTGGTACCTTGTGCGTGTGGATGAAAAGCACAGGAGAACATACGCGCGGCGCCCGCTCATGGGTGATGGACCGCTGGAGGCAGGCGTTGAAGTCGTCCACCCAGGCGTTGTTCATGAGGTGAACGCTCAGCACTCTTTTAAAAGTTTGAGCTAAATGGTGGAACGGTTTGTGTTTGCTGTAGCATGTGCATGTATGTTAAAGGAGGAAGTGGTTTAACAAGTTATATTAAATACTTCACTAATCTGTGTAAAGTACAAGCCAGAAGTAAAAAAAAAAATGAACGTGGGCTTTTAAAATGTACATTTCATCATAACAAGAATGAAACTGCACAAGAATGAAACAAGGACAAAGTGGCTCTTTTCACGTTACCAGTTTGCATGAAGCATGAAGTTGACTTAAAACCAAGCCGTCCAGTATAGCATGAATGTTGTTTGAGGGTTGGACTAGCCATGAAGTATGGATGTCTGTGAACTAGAAAACTGTATTTAATGGTTTTTTTCCCTTCTTCTTAGCACATCCCAAGCCCTGCTAAGAAAGTGCCAAGAATCCCTGCAACAACAGAATCTGAAGGCGTTACTGTTGCCATTTCCAATGGGGAGCATTAAGATACCTCTGTGAGGTGGGGAATGAAACAAGGTGTGAGGGTAGGGTGAGAGAGGGAGAGGTTTGCAGTAGTGCTGAAGGTTCAGTGCACAGTAGTACTTCATTGGAGAATGGAAAACTGTTAAAGCTCCTTGAAAAGATTTGTCATAATATGGCGTGCTGATGTTTATTGTATTTTCAAGACACTAAATTCATGAATATACTGGGGATGGAGGGACTTGCCGGAGGCTGTGTGGATTCATTAACATGTCTGATTAGTTTTTTTAATTGCTGAGTAGTAGCTGTAGTCCATTACAAGGTCTTTGTACATAGAAAAAAATCTTTTGCTTGCTCTTTCAATTTAAAATGACTTGAAACTTACACTGTTAACTTCTACTGTTAACTTCTACTTTAAACCTACACTGTTAACTTCTACTTTAAACCTACACTGTTAACTTCAAGTGTGTGGCAAGCTAGTCCAGGCTTTTCATGTTAGAATTCTCAGTGCCTTGACAGTAAGCCGTCAGTCTTCGGAATACTGCACTTCTCTTTCTCTCTACTACCTTCCCTGTTTTCTCCCAGTCTGCGTCCCATCACCCCATTCGTTTGGGAAAGATATACAACCAAGTAGCATTCATTGCTGGAAAAGAATCTCTCTTCCCTGTCAGAATGATTGGATCAAGAATGGCTAGACGGACAGGTGGCTTTCTTCCAAGAAACTTTGTGACCTGCTGTGTTAGTTACTATGGAAATCCTCTGAATGCTCATAATGTGTGTTTTATACCCGCTTTATAAATCACAGCAGCCTGGGAGGAAAGAGGAGAAAGAAGGGAGGTAGGGATTTTTTTCTTCCAAAGATATGAGTTCACTGATCTGGCATCTTTCAGTATTGTCTAGTAGATCCCATGTGGAGTATTGTGTGCAGTTCTGATGTCCTCAAGGTAAGAAGGACATGCAGCTGTTGGAGGATGATCAGGGGGCTGGAGCACCTCCTATACGAGGACAGGCTGAGAAAATTGGGACTGTTCAGCCTGGAAAAGAGAAGACTGTGTGGAGACCTCATAGCAGCCTTCCAGTATCTGAAGGGGGCCTATAAGGATGCCAGAGGGGGACTCTTCATCAGGGATGGTAGGGGTAGGACAAGGGGTAATGGTTTCAAACTTGAACAGGGGAAGTTCAGGTTAGATATAAGGCAGAAGTTCTTTCCTGTGAGGGTGGTGAGGCACTGGAATAGGTTGCCCAAAGAAGTGATGAATGCTCCATCCCTGGTGGTATTCAAGGCCAGGTTGGACAGAGCCTTGGGTGACATGGTTCAATGTGAGGTGTCCCTGCTCATGGCAGGGGGGTTGGAACTAGATGATCTTAAGGTCCTTTCCAACCCAAACCGTTCTGTGATTCTATGGTTCTATACTTATCTAAGGCAGCAGAGTTTTCACACAGGACTTCTAGATATTATGGAGCTGTTTCAAATGGCAAACGAAGAAAGGGAGAAACATCAAACATCACTGTGTCTGGAGCGCTGGCCTCTCACTAGTCTTTATATAGTACATTTCTGAAAGACTATTTCTAACTTTGAATTTGGCTTTGTATCCTGAAATCATTCTGACTATAGGTGATATTGTAGAAGTAGGGTCTTTTTTTTTTCTCCTTTTTTGTTTTTTTCCCAACATGCAAGCTAAAATTTTGCAACAGGTAGATATACCGTACTATGGGGATTCCATTCTGGTAGATTTTTAAAGCCCAGATTGGAAATTAACTATGACATGAGCCTTGTAAGCTTGTAATATATACATATTTAAATTGAGCTAATGTACAGAATGAAATTTTGTTGAATTTATTTCTTTGCTAATTCTACAAAGCTGCATTATCTAATATAAAGTAGCAAAAAATTATTTGTCTGTTAAATTACAACTTTTTGTGTGTAATGAAGTGTTTGTATTATCTGTCACTCACTAGGATTTGATAACTTGCTGTATTTGTACAGTCAAGCCTTGGTAAAATAGTTGTTTATTATAAATTGATGGATACTAATCTGTTTGTTCTGCTGAAAATGATGGAGCAATGATGCATGATGATAGTGTTTGCAAGTACTTTGATTTAGGTTGCCCTCGTGAAACTTAATCTTGGCACCAGAAAAACAAATTGCCATGGAACAAAGTCCATTGCTGGCAGTGGACAAGCCAGGAAGTGAGCTACTGGCACAAAGTTATCACAGGGGCCTCGCGGTTTGTGAGGCTGATCCTTTATTAAAATAAAGTTTGAGATACTTGAAACCTGCTGTAGTAGTGCTGACTTGTTCGGTTTTCAGGGTGAATTTTTTTTCTTTAACAGGAAGAAAAGAGGAAACTGTCCCTGTGAAAACACGAAGTTGTGGGTTCACCAACTGGATCTTTCTTCTTAGTATCATTCCATTACAAAAGTGGAAAGGGGTGCTTAGGCTGGTGGGAAAACATTATTGTAGGGCTGTGTTTCAAGATAACTTAATGCTTTCAGATGGAAACCGTTTATAGTAGAGAAACTCATTCCCAGCTTATGAAATACAATTCGTCTTTATTACTGTCTTATGAAAGATGGCATTGTTTTATCCCCCTCAAAAATCTGTGAAGTGGGATTGATTCTTGCTTTGTACTTACCTGAGCCTCACCGAATCCCTGTTTCCCAGGTGTGGATTTTCAGAGTCTTTCTGTGCCTCATTTACATAAATTAACGCTTTTAAAGTCAACTCATCATCTCATCAGTCCCCCATAATACATAACACATCCTGCCCTTAAATTTGAAAGCACCAGCTGTACCTCTCTAACTCTTGAATTAGTTTACTTGCCTTAAGCAAAATAGAACAGGCTTTACCTCTTAGCTTGGGCATGTCAGCTGTGCCTGTTCAGAGAAGGACAGCTACTGCACTGTTCTACTGTTTGCATTGGAGCTTATGGGGTTGAAGATGAACACATCAAATAAACAATTAAAACTGAAAATCAGAGTATCTACATCTCGGTGATGCTTAGAACAACTGGAGTTGTCAGGCCATCCAACTTATAACTTCCAGTGGTCAGAATTGGCTTTTGCTTCCAAAGTAGTATGGCAGGAGTTGGCACAAGCCTGTAATGCTCAATCTTTAAGTAGATTTTGCTATTGGTTGCATTCATCTTACTGGTACTTAGAGCTAAAGCAAGAATTTAAAACTTGCATGAGTTTTGGAGTACACTTAAATCTTTCTTTATTGGAGTGCAGCTGGAGTCCAAGCAGTTCTAGACTGTTGGAATCATCCAAGTAATGGAAGGTGGTAGCTCAGTAGATGGTAACCCAACCAGTTCTGCAATAGGAATTGTGACCACACAAGTAGGGTTCAAGCAGCATATCCTAATTTGCCTTTTGTAATTGTGACAAAATGGGAACGGTGGTCAACAACACCACTGCTGTTTTTTAAATACAATTTTAAAGCCCACAGAGCTCTGTTATACACTTATCCACGTTCAATTTGCTTAGAAGCTTTAAAGAAGAATTTACAGTTGTTTAAATTATGGTCTGGTTTCTGCTTAAGTTTAGTTTTCTGCAAAAACTGTCCTGGTTTGCAGTGGTAAAGTTGTGTCAAGCTGAAGCACAACTTCTCAAGACATTAGCTGTAACATGCCTGTAGTATGTTAAATGCGGTACTGTTTGATCTTTACTAAAAGGTCGCCTCTACTGATGATCCCTTACCTGTTTTACTTGCTGGGGTTCTTGTACTGCTTATACCAAGTCTCTGGAGCAAGGAGCAAACAAATGAGTGAGAGCTCTGTATCTGAGCGCTTCACTGTAAGTGGAGAAATGCAGAGGAGAGGAGGCATTTTTGGTTTATTCAGAAATTACACAAAAAGATGTAATGCCAGAACTTGTGAATAAAACCCTTTGTTAAATATGCTGATTATAAAGCCTGCAGTGCAGTTTATAAAATAGAACATAGCTTGGATGTGTTCTTCGTCCTGCTGTAAGAATGGATTCCTCCCCTCAGGTCTTGTTTGGGGTCTGGATGGGACATGATAGGAACACATTCGAGTGCCCTTTTCTTCTGAACTTTGTGCAGAACGATTCTGTAGACCCCCGTTACTGAGCTGCGTGCATCTTTTCCCCGGTTGTTTTGAATGTGCTCTTCTGTGATTCCCAGATCTTCCAGAGTATTTTTCACTTCAATGTCTTCCTCTTTGAGCATACTGATGTCTGATAAGTACCTTGGATCCAGTTTAAAGGGCTGTAAAGGTTTGGGGTACTGTATCCCTTGCATCCATTCGCTGTTCATGATAAGTTTGACAGAGTATCGTTTGGTTGGTACTGGCTGAAGGACTCCTTTTATCAGTTTCTGGCAAGTTTCTGAGAGGCAGGAAGGCAAACTGTATGTCCCTTCAAGAATGCACTTTTTCAGTTTGGCCACTGTATCTGCCCGAAATGGCATGATCCCCGTTGTCATGAAGTATAACAGGATTCCCAGTGCCCAGATGTCTACATAAACGCCAACGTAGTTTTCATCTCGGAAGAGTTCGGGGGCAGCATAAGGAGGAGAGCCACAGAAAGTATTCAGAGTTTCATCTCTTTTACTTACTGTGCTGAATCCGAAGTCTCCCACCTTAACGCAGGTGTTACTGGTGTAGAAGACATTTTCTGCTTTCAGGTCCCGGTGAATGATATTATTTTCATGCTGTAGAACAAGAGGAAAATTTGGTATTAGCTTGTTCACAGGAAAGTTCTCAATGAAACTAAAAAGTTTAGTATTTAAAGAAATTTAACTTAATTCTCTACTGATACAAAACCAATAGGGTAAGTAGAAAAGACGGGAAGAAGGATGCTAGGTTTTTAACGATAGCAGTCTCAACTTGTTAACTAGTATCAAGTACTTCATGAAGCAGATCTGTGATGGCATCATGGCTAATCCTACAAGACTAGGTATCTTCATGTGCAAAATCTGTATTTTCAGGGTTCAGAACCCTTGCTTTAGCAATGACTACATTTCTGTAATGACACAACTAACAAAAGTAATTGCAATTTTGTATATATTGTAAGCTTCTGGACTTACAAAGTGAAAGTGTTTAGTTCACCAAGTGAACGTAATCACAGATAAAGTAAGAAAGTCACTACAGTTCAGTTGCATGATCTAATGTTCTGTGAGCAGCTGGTGGTGGCAGGAGGAAAGGACCATGCACTTGTGCCTTGTGGTATTTCTTGTTGCAGGACACCAAGTTCAGTGGTGTCTTCTAGTTTTAGAGTCTAAAATAAGTACATACACTGTAACTTGTACCTTTTTTCACCTTGGAAATGCCAGTTACAGCCAAGGACTCAAACTGAATTGTCTCTGCTTAGTGGTGATGTACC